CATCCCCAGCACCAACCCCGCCAACTTCTAGCTCTGCGCCCAGGTCGCCTTGTTCGCCTCGACGAAATCCCTAAACGCGCGGGGGTTGCGGCCGGGTCCGGTGGAGGAGTATATCTTGTTCTCCTTCTTGAGGGCCGAGAGGTGGTGCTCTGATAGGAAGTTTTCTGCGTGCGGTGGTTAGGTACCTATGTATGGTTCTTGTCTAAAAAGACGATAGGGGGGGGGTGTAAGTGAAGACGGCGATGTTTACCTTGGAACCAAGTCGGGCGCAGCACACCCCACTCGATCTTACCCGCCTCGCCAAGCTCCCGCAGGTACGTGTGTACCTTGCCTACTAGCGGTCCTCCCTCGCCGATTATGCTGGCGCTTAGCAGTATGAAGCGCGGGACGCCCTTGGAGAGTGCGAGGTCCACGAATTTCTTGATGGTATCCTGGGCTTCTGCGCGAGGCGCAACGAGGTGGATGGCCGAGATGGGAGTCGAGAAGATGGGCTCCCACGTCGATTCGTCGTCCCAGTCGAACTTGACGCCCGTGTAGCCGTCCGGGGCACTCCCGGATCGCGACGCAACCAGGAAGGGGACCCCGGCGGCGTGGAGCAGCGGCGCGATGCGGCTCCCAACCTTTCCCGTGCCGCCGAGCAGCAGGATTGAGCCGGATTGGGTAGTTGCTGAAGACATGATGGGGTTCTACGTGGGGTTCTTGAAGACAAGGAGCAAGCGAGTTGGGAAATAAGATGGAAGTAATACATCATATCGCTGTCGTCTTATATAACAGTACTGTACGCGAGGACGTCAGGCAGATATCCGCCAACAACGGCGGGTCATCTGATTAGTTCATGGCGTGGATCACGATCGTTTGTCCCATCGTGTAATCCTTCCTGAATCCACCATTAGGGCAACCAATCAGAATGAAGGGCCTGTCTCTATTCCGTAATCAATGGGCCGAGTTGCACCGTCCCCGGTCCCCATCCGGAGTTAGCGGATCTGCAAGGATATCTGCGGATAGCGGTTGAATAATCCTGCCGATACCTACGGTGTTAATGTTGAGGCCGGGAAAGTTGGTGATAGTTGCACTCTGTGAGGAGCTCGACAATGTGGTCTAACCGATACAGGTTTTATAGCGATATCTTGCAAGTAGTTAATTTTTGTAGAGCATAATTAGTATAAATAACGATATCTATCCGTCTTAAACAATGACAAGCATCTTGTAATGATTAAGTCACAGGCGCAAACGCAGGAATATATCACCAACTAGAAAAACAAATAAAACTCGTAACAATGGCCGCTCAATACGACATCCAGACCTTCTTGCTAGATAAGCAAAACATCCACGAGACAGTAGCTCGCCTTGTAAGTGCTTACAGCCCCTACCTAATGCTACCCTATTTAGTAATAGCTAAGAAAGCAATGTCCTAACGATTTCTAATAAGACCTTGAACCTGGACCTACGTTCAACCGACGGCCTCATCAATGACGTCTACGCCCCAGACGTCGTCATCGACTACACGTCCATGTTCGGCGGGGAGCCGACAGAGACGACCAACGAGGCATGGGCTAAGAGCCTCGAGCCGATGATGGCGGCTTTCGATTCGACGCAGCACGTAGTCACGTACGTAGGACGTCCCCTTGCATGTCATAGTTCATAATATCGGAGACTTTATATATATTTAGAAATCGAGAATTAATCAACACCGACGCCACAGGAACGAAGTCATCGAGCTGCCGCAGCCAGCCAAGGGCGTCAGCAGGCCGGTTAAGGCTAGCGTCGTTGCTCAGGTCAATGGACATATGTTCCGCCGCGCGGCGAGAGGAAAGCCGCTTATGCACAATGGGGTGAGTACCTGGTCTTGCATTAATATTGCATTCGTATATTTATTTCAGTCTGGCTCGAAATACCTAAGACCCAGCAGCTAACAGCAGGACGAATATTAGGGCCGATATAATATCGAGCTCGTGCGACTCCCGGAGCTCGAGCAGGAGGGAGAGAACCCGTGGAGGATCAGCAGGCAGGCTACTGTCATCGGCTGGGAAGACGGTAGCTCGGATGTTATGAGCGTGTTTGCTGGTATCGGGCATTAGGTTGAACGGCCTGGTTGCGGGCGGTAAGGGATGAGATGAGGCCTGATGGGGATGACGTTACATGTGAGGGCGGCTTCCCTTGGGTATCACTTTACGAAAATATATTATATCGTATGGTAGCAAAATATATCCCAAGGTAGGAGAGTCATTCAAGTATTTTTAAGAGAAACATTTCTTCGTAGTTGTTATGAAGCACAACTTCAAATATAACTCTCATCCTGTCCACAAACTAGTCCCCCCCTATTTTTCTCTTGGTAACGTAAAGATTCATACCATAACTCTAGGCTAGGTAGGTAGAAGGAGTAACAGCAGATACACACTATCCTTTTTCTTTCGTCCATTACAACGTCCGCGCTCTTCTACGTGAAAAGCGTAAGACCCAGCGTTAGTCGTTCCTCTACGCGACGAAGATATACCAGCCATCTAAAAAACGGTTGTTGCTCATACGCTTGATGAGGAATATATATGAAGGAAGACATAGTGTTTGCTTTAAGTTTACGAAGCGTTATTATATTGACCTTTTTTTTATAAGAATTAATGTTATAAATAAATAGTAAGGTTTTTTAATTCAAGTGTTTCTAAATAACACATATCAATTGTGTGGCACATAGTTAAAATTTAAATGTTTTATCTTTTTGCAATTTACTTAATACCTAGTAAAACCTGTTCTACAGTCTCGGCCGAGCGGCCTGTTCTGCGCTGTTAGCTCATAAACCTTGGCACGTAGATACCATCCGTAAGGCATGCCGTTTCGTATCATACAAGTCACTTCCCCCTATTATCCTAAGCTCCGGCTTCGACAGCAAATGCATATCTCGGCATCTGTGCCATCCGCTCCTCCGGGCTAAGTTCATCGTCATATACCATCTTAACGTTCTTGTCCTTCTCCTTCTTTGACTTCTTCTCTGCTCCCTCAGCTGGCTCCGCAGCTATTGGGGTCTCGGGTTTCTTCGGAGGCTTGATCCTAGCTTCGGCCATCCTGATCAGTTGGTCGATCTCATCGCCTTCCTGCGCAGCACCCGACACCAGTTCATCAATAGTGGAAGCACTTCCTTGCCAGCCTGGCTGTCCAGGGCGAGGGGGTAAACCATGAGGCGCGGGAAGGTTGCTTCCGGGCCGCGACGGTAGGTTCGGTGGAGGATATGCGCCGGGATATTGCGGAGGGGGTGAATAACCAGGAACGGACTGTGCGGGGAATGCCGGATATTGACCGCCAGGAGGAGGGAAGGGTGAATTCTATTCGTTTTAGTTAGCATAGGTTTGCTGAGGATTGAACTAGCAACATTGGAGCACATACAAATGCGCCGGGGGACGCGCTTTGCGCAGGGCTTTGGCCGTCGGGCCTGCTCTCTCGGGGAGTATGACCTGCGTTACCTCCACCAATAGCCGTTTTCTGAGCGGCAACTCTCGCACGATGCTCTGCTAACCGCTTCTTGATCTCGTCTGGCGTCTCAACCTTGAGTTTTTTGACCGGGCCGTTCCCATTCTGGCCAGGTGGGGGATTTCCCGTTGCGGCGTATCGATCAGCTTGGGCTTGGTAGAAGTTCTGGATAATTCGCTGGTTGTGCTGTTGAACAATGTCTTCCGGGATACCTTCCATACCGAAGATCTCGACATCGAGACCTTGTCGATTAGGCAATGCATTCTCGACTGATGATAGCGATTCTTTGTGAACCTGATTCATATGAACCGACAGCCCTTTAATACATAAAAGTTAGCCATCGTAGCGCATCGGGCAAGCATCGGGCAAGCATCGAGCGGGTAGAAAATTCTTTACCTCCAGCCGTATTCAACCGTCGGCCACAGCGATCACACTTGAAATGTTTGGCTTTTTGGTGAGATATCAACAATTTGAGATCTTCAAAATCTCTCTCGCCTAGCAGAATTGTTAGCAATTTCTTGATAGGGGCGAAACTAGAGCTAGAAGAGCATACAATAATAACACCAAGCTCGGGAGAGGAGCTCCTCAACATCGGGGTGACCGCGCTTCTTCTTTCCCATGGCTGCCGAGTTGAAAGATGGTTATTTGAAAGAAGAAAATAAGACGTGTGTTCCTTAGTTTTTCGAGCTAAGTTTGGGATTGTATTGATGGTTAGGTTGCTATCGCGACGGAATCTGGTAAAGGCGGTAGTTGTCGTCGCGCAAAGTTGAAAGAGAAACGTAGCGCGAAGAAGGTAGCATTCGAAGGGACATGATTCAATTGGCTAGGTACCTAACCTAGGTACCTACCTAACTTCCCAAGCTTCAGCCATATCCTAGGTACCTAGGTATCGGTGTATTGTGGCTGGTACAATACAGTGTGGCGGGCTCAGGTATCCACATGAGCACCGGCATATGTACATAGTACGGATTACATAGGTAGGTGCTGTAATATTTGTCAGCATGTCCACTTACATCAGACGTCCTTTTCCAGCTTTTAGTCCTTCACCTCTTATTCTTGGTTTAAAGAAGTCCTAGTTAACTACCTATTCTACCTAGAAACCAAGTGCTCTTTCCAAAAATGATTTTCACCACCTACCCGGGGGCCAGACATAGCGTGACCAGTGTTCCATAGCTACCTACCTACTCATAATAATCGACACTTTTAGACATTAACACCTGCCTTTAGTTACTTTAGGCACCCATAATGATTCCAACGATCTTTTCGGTGAACTCCATATCCAAGAAGTGCTTGTTGTAGTTGGGTTATCTATTGGTTCATTTTTATGCTGATTTCTCACCGTCCCTTGCGGCATTCTCTACCTCTCATTGGCATCTTACCATATAGCTCTCATCCCCTTTTAGTTAGATTTACATTTTGACATCATGATTTATAAAGGACTAGGTTACGAAGGAGTCTAGGTAGGATAGCTGGTATGGTACTAGCAATGTGCCCAGTTTGTATCTAGTATTTGAGACGCTGCCAGCAATGCAAAACAGAAAAATAAAAGAGTCTAAAACAACTGAAAATAAAAGAATATTAAAATTGTGTAATCCCAAATAAATAGGTGCGTAGTCTTATAGCAACAGCTACTGTTGTGGTTCTCAAGCACAAGTACTTAAACCGCCCTTGCAAGTGAGTCCCACAGCTACACCTCAATCACTGCGCCATTTCGGGCAGAAGAGTCAGTTGTAAGAATTATCTATATGTGCTCAAGTTAGGTACTTAGGTACAGGACACCCGACAACGAGGTGACCCAACTTCTGATGAACTATACAATTTATTGGTATGCTTTCGAAACCGGCCATCCACTATATACAGGAGCCCCCAACAACCCAAAGCCATTAATAACTTCTTAGTTCATCCTGGTTGCTGTCTAAAACCATTGCAAGACCAAGAGATGGCCTAGGACATTGTATCCGGGTCCAAGATCACCCGTGTGAAGCATACTAAAGTCTCAAAACCTAAGCGGATATTCACTAGGGAGAAAAGGCGAGATACATCCTTCGAGTTGTACGAAGGGGTGAGAAGTCAAATAAACAGACCAATATAGGACTCCGATACGACATGTTCCAGTCTTCTTATGTTGCTAGGCGGCACTACGCCAGGCTTTCGTACGACTATCAGATACAATAAGTAGCCTGCGGGAAAGAGAATAACCAAGACTGAGCTTCGCCGAGCGGAATATACGGATTTCCCGAGTGCCGGGAATTAGGTCTCCCTTCGTGGGGGTCGCTCTGGCAGTCGGGACTGTCTGTGCGTGGTAACGGATGAGGTGAGCGGTGGGAAGATGCTGTGCCAAGCCCAGAGCGGGTGAAGGAAAAAGAGCCGCGATGAACCAGATTGGGCCAATGAAGCTCCTAGCGCTCACGGAAAGTTTCACGAGAAGCATAGAGCCGTTACCATTATACATCTGTGCCACCAACCAGAGCCAAACAAAATACTCGCGAATCAAATAGTTCACAATTGGTTGGTTGTAAATTGTAGGCTCGAGCAACACTAGGAAATGCGGCTCAAATGAGAAAGGCTCCCCGATCCCCCAAAATTGCGTGGGGCGGTGGGCGGTGGGCGTTGGGCGTTATTGTGTCGCTGAAAGCCGAGTAACACACCACAGCCAAGTAGTAACATATTACAACAGGCCATGCGATCTTGCAGCGTAAGCCATGTGGTAACTCGATCTCATTCATATCAAAACAACTGTTAGGATCCCTGAGCTTGAGGCAAGCATTGTTTGCTTAGGGCCCATCCAACCCAACAAAAGTGGTAGGAATAAGAACAAGATAACTTACACCTAGCAATGTCTTACATACAGCGCATGCTACCGGTAGAGAATGAAGCGAAAACATGGTGTTCTGCACGACGCTTGGCTTTCTTAGGCCATACTTTGGGCTTTGATAACCAACAACCTAGTTGTGGGTTTATCGAATCGTACCGATGCTCAGATTGAGTATCGTCATACGCAGTTGTGTCATGGAGCTCCGTCATTCTCGGTACGTAGTCTAGATCGTTCCACGTTTTTTCGGTGGGAAGAATATGAAAGCTATGCCGGATCTAAGTTTACGTTCTCATTGGAAGACAAGGGGCGAACAACATATCAGGCTGTATGAGTGGTTTGCGTTATGCGTCAGTAAGTATGATAAATTTGGTACTTCCATACATGACGTGGGGTTTGACGTGGGGTTTGACGTAGGAAAGCACAAGCTTACCTTTTGATTTACCTACCTAGTTACATTCCCAAGCCCTCTCATCTTCAAGGGAACCTCTGCTGGTACTGCTGAGCAAGATTTGGGTATAGGATTGCCATTACCGTCCAACGTCTCTCAACCCCACAGAGACGGAATGTATGCATTATCACGGCAAAAACGAATCGGAAAGGTACCGAACGTGAATGCAAGCGGCCTTATCGGGATAGGCACACGACGTGTCAAGTATTACATGTTTCATCGTTCAAACCCTCGACTTGGGTAGAGGCAGCACGTAGTGCTAGGTTCGGATATATCTGCTGCACGACATCAGACTTATCGACAATGCAGTAGTGCCACGACTGGACAGCCAGTTGGTAAAGTCGCAATTTGAAGTTTGTCTAATGCATAAATCCATTGAGGTACACCGGACGATGGAGTGGCAAGCGTTGTAAGAAAATATATCCAAGTTGACCATCATTGAGAGATGCCTCGATAGTAGAATTTCAAGGCCAGTTATAGCTTGTGCAGTGGATAATGACAAAATTTTGAGGTACGAACCGCACACATGGAAAAATGAGTGCGACGAAGGTACAAATAGAAGGGGTCGTGACATGTTGGTAACGGGAAGCAAAATTGATGCGTGATGAAGGCATACGAGAATACGAACCATCGGGTACGAATTTGGGCGACAAGAGTGTGATACCTTTAGGACTCGTAGGGCTTAGGGCCGGGTCCTCAAGTCTATGGTCCTCTGAATAGGAAAAAAGGAAGCCTTGTATAAGGCAACCTAGGCTAGCCATAACCCGCTGCCTAGTAGTATAGCACGTGAGGTGTAGGACTTGATCAGCAGGAGCCGCCCTTCAGGTGCGCATGAATATTTGGGTGTGTTTTAACTCTAGGTAGTGAGTTGAATCGAATAGTCTCTATACGGATGATTGCAAGTTGTCGGTCGGGTACGTAAGGTGACAGAAATGCGTAACAAGATGCGTGGTAGTTGTACTGCAATACCTGATTGGTTGTAAGTAGACCCCCCAACCGGACCTGGTCGAACCTGATTGGACCATAACGAAGGGGACCAGGGGTGAGTGTGCCGTACTGCCTCGACATGTCTACATAAATGCCCACTTGCTCCTCTACCCTCCTCTTCATTCCTCCCCTCTTTCATAACCAGTTTACCAATCGTCATCAAAAAGGGGCCATAGAGTATAAAATTCATCGCGTCCAATCTAAAACGAGACGGAAAACCCTATTCCAAACAACTTAACGGTACTATAATCACTAGACCGTGTTAGTTCAGTCGCACAGAGTACCGTCGACGTACCTCTTATTGATTAGCATCCCAGATAGTTGCCATAATTCAACAACGACTCGCCACCAAAGTTCCCAGACAGCTTTCTGCACCATGGGCGACTTTGCTGGTTTTCCACGTGACCAAAGGGCTGCCTGGAATTCATGTAGGAATCGACCATGGATGCTGCTCAGGGTGTGATCCTCATAATCTGACAAGTGATAGATGATATGGCGCCGCAGAGTTCTCCATCTTCCCACCGAAAGTCTTGGTCTGGGTATTCCCAACCATACGACTATCGGCCCCTAAGTGACGGATATGAGGGGATATCGCACAAGCGCGATCGTGATTCTACTGATGGAAGCCAGCACCATCAATCGGCGATTATTGTAAGATGAGCAGTCAATTCGATGCTGGAACATTGGGCGCATACTGATTGAAAACAGCGTCGTAATCATGAATATTCGCGGTTGGACACTGAATCATCACGCCGCACTCATTCCGTTTCTTCGGAGAGCCGACGGGGCCATAAAAAGGTATCTCGGAATGCTTATCGGGATCAAGATGCAATCGCCTCAAATATCCCATATGATCATTCCCATCACACGAGCAGTCGCACTATGTCATCAGCGACTTTTAAGAACAGAGAGGCCTCCAATGAGAGTGGACATCGAGCCAACCATAAAGATAGGCATCTGATGCCAGTCCCACCAAAAGCTCCCAAGATTCCAAGGCTCCCAACCCCTGATTTTGACGACGTAGAGTATAGTAAGTATGATATGTCGGATCATCAATTCTGCGCATGCTGCGGTGATGATGGTAGTTCCGGAGCAGAGCATCGGCGAGGAGAGTGCACTGCGGCAAAGATGGAAAGACAGGGTATGTCTCCTCGTTCCTTTGCTAGCTTAATCGTCGGCTATATCCACAAATACCTCGTCTAAACTCAATGTGCTGACGAGCTCTAGTATTCGAGGCGAAAGCTTATATCGCACGTAAAGACTCACATGCTCGCTAAAAGGGGGACTTTCTAGTTTATCCTCGGTATGAATTAACAAAACAGGGGGAGTTGGAGTGAAAGATGACCGGCGGATGAGTTCAAGGCACAAGCCCAACGAGTATAGCAGACAGGTCGCTACCGTGGAGGCCACTCTTCCGTGAACGGAGCTGGCCAGAGCAGTCCCAGTTTAGCCAGAGCATTCTGACGGATACAACTACTTGGATACCGGGAAGCTGAGATAACCCGGCCGTCTATGCACTATTAGCTATGTGCAAATTCCATATGGAGGCGCATATCCAGGTCAGACCATAAGAATATAACGCCGTATTCGACCTAGCTTGGGGTGTAATCGCGGCTAGGAGTCCGTTTCACTAACTGCGGACGTGCTCATACGTCTGACAACGGCCCTGCGATCTGTCGACATCGGATATTCAATAATCATGTACATTATTCCATTGTTCTTCTCCGTGGTTATTAATCGTTCGAGGGTTAAACCCACTATCGGAACTTTCAGAGCTCATAGACTGTAACTAATGTCGGATATTTGGTTTCATATATTGTGTAGGCCGTGAAGTAAGACGGGACGATAAGTGGATGAAGTCTGGTTAGGGTTGCATTTTATCTGGACCGTGGCTAGTGCGGCTAAACACTATAGTCACCGCCACGATTATTCCTAGGTCAAGCCACATAATCTACATAGTTACATCCATGGATAATTCTAGGACTTATTTCAAGGGCCTTTGCTATTAATTTCTACTGTTTATGTCAAGTTCATAAATTATTAGCCAAAGGACAAGCCTTGAAGTGCGATGAGTCCTTGGTACCTTATAGACTTAGTTGATAACTAATAGATTATAGGAGTATAGTTTCGAGTCATTCAAATACTTCATCTTATCTCTAAGTCTTGGTTAATATTGATTCAATGCCACCAAGCCTTGGCCTTCATATTTCATCGTACTTCGTAGAGTTCATGATATTAACATAGGTAATGTTCTCCATAGTATAATGTTATTGCGACTGGACGGGACGCATCTTTAACCCCCTGCCAATTCTCATATTCTCAATATTTAAATCGCTATAAGCAGTACTTAGACACCTGCTTCATAGGACTGACTATTCGCCCCTGCGCAAAGCCACACAATGTCAAAGCTCGCAGGTCTAGCTTCGAGCTCAGCTACCAGGGGTCAGAGGAGGCCCCATTAACTGATGAAGATCATCCTACTATAATAAGAAAAGGTCGGGTCGGCTTGCTTGCCTGGCCCTGCCTGGCTCTGCCTTACCCCAACACCCCGCAATCCTACCGTACGTCGGGTAATTGTCCAGTCCTAATCCCACATTCCCGAGAGCCACCTTCCCTTAAATATTATTTTTCTTAGCAACAACTATTAATATTTAACGTTAATCTATACGATTTTCTTTAATACCTGCTATAAAAATACCTAAATTCCAGAACTTATTAAGTCCCTAATATAACCCCGCAGTTTGCCCCAAAACCTAATAACCTTTAAACATTTTATAAAAATAATTTTACATTTTAACAAATTATCGATAATAAACCTTAAGTTAGAAAAATACTATTTACGCCTACGTAGCTTTTTTAAAAAAAAACGCATAAATTTTTTTAATTTAATTAAATTTAAGAAAAGCCTTAAAAATTATACTAATAAAATTTATTAAAATTATTAAAATATAAATTTTCGTATATAATTAACTTAATAAATCTATAATTATTAACTTTTTATTTTCCATTTTAATAAAAATATAACGCAAATAAAACATATGGTAAAAAATATTAAAAAACGTAATACGCTTATTAAATAATATAATAACCTTTTACGAAAACAACAATAAAAAGTTTTTTACGCGGGAAATTATTAAATATTTTTTAATATACTTTAATACCGCTTTATTTATAAAGGAAACCTTATAAAATCTTTTTAATAACTTTAATACTAATTTAACCAACACTAACGTATTTTTAACCAAAAAAAATATCGTTAATATTAATATTAAACGCTCGTACGTTTTAATAGCAATTAATAAAAACAGCGTTAATAATAAAAGAAATAATAAATCAAATATTACCAATAAAATAAAAACCTTTTATTAACGAAAAAACCTATACCTACTAATTAAAATTACCAAAAATAATATAAAATAAACTAAAAAATAAATAAATTTCATTTTTAAATTTATTATAATTATTATATTAAAAATAATATTAATAAATATTTCAAACGTTTATTATATTATTATAAATTTTATTATCCGCCTTAAAAACGTAAAAATTAAAAACCGCTTATTATAAAATAAAAATAAAATTATTTTAACCTTTAATGCAATAGCCATAAATATACCTACAAAATAATATAATTACGTAATTTTTAAAATTCCCGTAACTATTTAAACTTATACCGGTAAATATATAAATATTATTTAAATTATTAATAATAAAATATATACATAAATAAATTATAAATCTATTAATATTTAACCTTTATATTAAAAAATTAATCTTTAAATTATTATTAATAATTAAATCGTTTTTTTTTAAAAAAACTTAATAAATTTTTTAATTTTTTTAAAATTAACTTATACTTCTACTTAATCGAAAAAAAAGCCTTACCTTTAATGTATAAAAAATATTAAAACTTTTATTTATCTTAAAACTACATAAGAATTTCACACTACGTATACTATAAATTTAAAATAAATAAAAACTATTAATAATTATATTAACACTTTAAAAACTACGCTAATTATTATAATTTATACCTATTAAATTACCTAAAATACCTAATTAAACCAATTTAACGCAATAATAAATTAATCTTTTAAATATAAAAAAAACTAAACATAATTTATATAGTTAAATTTAAATTATATTATATAATATATTTTTTTAAAAATATTAAAAACCTTACTATTAACGCTACCAATTTATATCCCAACGTAAGGTTAAATAAATAATTTAAAAAAAATTTTAAATCGATATTAAAACCTACTTAAATACTTATCCAAAAACCTATTTAAAAAAATAAAAGATAAGAAAAAAAAATAAAAAAAAGCAATAAAAATAATAAAAATAAAAATAAAAGGTAAAAATTAACCTTAATAAAATCCGTTACCCCCGGTAATATAAAACCTACAATTACACTAAGCACTTTTATAAAAAAAAATAATAAAAACCAAAATCCATACGCCATAAATTATAAACTCCTCCTCCTTTTTTCCCAAAATATCCATAGCCATTATAAAAACATTACCCGATAAAATTACAATATAAAAAATACATATACAAATTTTAAACTAAACTTCAAAACCTAAATAACCTTTTAAACGCTACCAGCAAAAACACCTTAAAATAACTTAAAATAACATTAAAAAACAAAGTAAATATAATATTAATATAAAAACCTTAAATAAATATTAATAATAATTATTATATTAATAATTATTCTAAATATAATACTTATATTTTAATAAACTACTAATATAATATTTTAATAAAACCTTAAATTATTATATACATAAAAAAAAGGAATAAATATATAACGTAATAAAACCGCTTTTAAATTATAAAAGATATATTTTAATTAAACATTAATAATATTAACGTTATTAATATATATAAATTATTAAAAAAACTTAATAATAAAATAATAAATATATTATTTAATTATATACCTTCGTTAAAATATATAATAATAAAAAATTTTAACATAAAATATCCCCATTAAAAGCCTAAAATTAAAGGGTAAAATAAAAGGGTAAATATTATTAAATAAGCTATTAATAACTATTTAATATTAATTTCGAAAATAAGAATATTAATATATTTTAACGGCTACGTTTTAAATTTTACTTTTTCAAATATTCCTTTTATAATAAGTAAAATAATCAACGTATTATATTTAAATGCGGACTATACGACCTTATAACTAACCATATTAATAAAACGCTTTTTTAAATTGGAAAAATATAAAATTATAATTTTAAATAATAAATTACCGATTTTTATAAAGGTAATAGTAATAAAAGCCTTTTTATTACCAAAATTACTTAAAAACCTTAACGCTATTATAATTAATTATAACATATAAATATTAATAAACTTATTTTTTAACGCGTTAAAAACTATTAATTACTTACCAAGCAATAAAAGATATAATATATTTTAATAAAATAAAAATTATAAAAAGGTATTTAATAAAATAAAGCGTATATAAATAAAAAACGGTTTTTTATTTACGGTTAAACAATAAAAATTATATAAAATAATTTACTTAATTAAATACAATTATTAATAAGGTAAAATAAAAAATATCAAAAATAATATTAAATTATATAAAATAATAAATTAATATAAATTCGATTTTACAATTAAGTCTCTTCCATTATTAATGAACGGGGAAACTATTAAAAAAATTAATAATAAAATATAAATCTTTAAAAAAGGCTTTTTCGAAAAATTTACGTTAAATAATAACCTCGACATAAACCCGTTAAACGTTTTAATAGTTTTTAAAAAGATATTAAAGTGAGATATTATAATTATATTAAAAAAAAATAAAAATAACCATAATTTTTACTGGGAATACGGTTTTAAGCATAAATAATCTTTTAATATGTTTATTAAAAGCGGTATAAGATTATATTGTAAAATATATATAAATTATCTTTTAAATTAACTTAAAGGTTAAATATTACCTTAAGCTTTTTAAAATAACCAAAATAATAATATTATTAAAAATAAATAAAAAAGATTTTATTAATATAAAATTATAATACTTAATTACGTTATTATTATATTTAAATAAAGATTTAAAAAAACTTATAATAAAAAAAATAAAACGTATAGCTTTTTTCGCCAAAATAATTAATTTATAATAAATAAAAACTTTATTAAACAGGAGTTGGTATCTCTTGTAAAGTATGGCATAT